TTCAGCTATGTTTGTGTTTCCTTGATGTTGTGAAACTTTCAGCCGTGTTTGTGATTCCTTTAATGCTGTGAAACTTTTAGTCGTGTTTAGAAAGATAGATGTTTCCTTATTCTACTTTCATCCGTATGTAAATAGATAGGAGTTGATTTTCTTTATAAAAATCTAGTTGATTCTGGTTGATGTAATGAAACTTTCAGCTATGTTTGTGTTTCCTTGATGTTGTGAAACTTTCAGCCGTGTTTGTGATTCCTTTAATGCTGTGAAACTTTCAGCCGTGTTTAGAAAGATAGATGTTTCCTTATTCTACTTTCATACGTGTGTAAATAGATAGGAGTTGATTTCCTTGTATGAAAATCTAGTTGATTTCGGTTGATATCATGATACTTTCAGCCGTGTTTGTGTTTTTTTTAATGTTGTGAAACTTTCACTGTGTTAAGAAAGATAGGAGTTTCCTTGTTCTACTTTCATCTGTGTGTAAATAGATAGGTTGATTTTCTTGTGTGAAAATCTAGTTGATTCTGGTTGATATGAAACTTTCAGCCATGTTGATGTTTTAAAATTTTCAGCCGTGTTTAGAAAGATAGGAGTTGATTTCCTTGTATAAAAATCTAGTTGGTTCTGATTAATGTAATGAAACTTTCAGCCATGTTTGTGATTCCTTAATGTTGTGAAACTTTTAGCCATGTTTAGTACTGTAGTAAGATAGGAGTTTCCTTTGTTCTACTTTCATCCGTGTGTAAATAGATAGGTTGATTTCCCTTGTGTGAAAATCTAGTTGATTCCAGTTGATGTTGTGAAACTTTTAGCTGGAAATGGATTCGGTTGATGTTGTGAAACTTTAAACTGTGTTTAGAATATAGAAGTTTCCTTGTTCTACCAGAATCAACTAGATTTTCACACAAGGAAATCAACCTATCTATTTATACAGATGAAAGTAGAACAAGCTTCTATCTTTCTAAACAAACATGGCTAAAAGTTTTACGACATCAATCAAAATCAACTAGATTTTCACACAAGGAAATCAACTCATCTATTTACATATGGATGAAAGTAGAATAAGAAATCCTATTTTTCTAAACACGGATGAAAGTTTCACAACATTAAGGAATCACAAACACAGCTGAAAGTTTCACAGCATCAACCGAAATCAATTCTTAGCTGAAAGTTTCACAACTTCTATCTATTTACACACAGATGAAAGGAAACTTCTATCTTTCTAAACACAGCTGAAAGTTTCACAATATTAAGAAAACATGAACACGGCTGAAAATTTCACAACATTAAGAAATCAATTTCTGGCTAAAAGTTTTACATTAACCAGAATCAACTAGATTTTCACACAAGGAAATTAATATTGAAAGTTTCACAACATTAAAAAAAAACACAAACACGCTGAAAGTTTCACGACATCAACTAAAATCAACTAGATTTTCATACAAGAAAATCAGCTCCTACCTATTTACACACGGATGAAAAGCAAAATAAGGAAACTCCTATCTTTCTAAACACAGCTGAAAGTTTCACAGTATTAAGGAAATACAAACATGGCTGAAAGTTTCATTACATCAACCAGAATCAACTAGATTTTCACACAAGGAAATCAACCTATCTATTTATATATGGATGAAAGTAGATAAGGAAACTCCTATCTTTCTAACACGGATGAAAGTTTTACAACATTAAGAAAACACAAACACGGCTGAAAGTTTCACAACATTAAGGAATCAATTCCTAGCTAAAAGTTTTACATTAACCGGAATTAACTAGATTTTCACACAAGAAAATCAACCTATCTATTTACACACGGATGAAATTAGATCTTGTGACTTTTTGTTTTGAAGGGTAAATCACTATTTTCAGAAGAGCATGAGGTCTAAAAGTGAACATGATTCGTGATTCTTTGAAAAATTACCATGCTTGACATTTTTCAGTCACATGGTGTGTACGTCTTCCTGATTTTTCCAATGAAGTAATTCGAAGCTTTGATACGAAGGTAGAAAACTTGCCATTCTTTGAATGAATTTAAGTATGAAAATTAGGCCAGTCAAGAACGTGTGCTCAATGGGCCGTTCTTTTCTTTTTATTTTACTTCTCCAGAATATAAAATATTTTCCGATATTTAAAAGTTACAATTATAAATTGGATGTTAATGTATAAAGAAGTTTCTGACTGAGAAAAGTAGATGGAAGTATAATTACACTTTAAATAATCTCATTTATTTTCTTTAAATATTTACTAATATTTTATTTCTTTTAAAAGTTCACAATGGAAATTAATCATGATATTTTTTCACTTTAATTTGAATTGTTCTATTTACTCTTACATGATGATATATAATTTGATACTATATTTTCTATATTTTCATTAATATCTATGTCTGATGAAAGTTTTGTTATATCAGAACCCTAAATGTTGAATAATTTTATTTATTATTCGAATATGTTAATAGATTGAATCTTTCAAAGAAACAGGAAAGTAATTTTAATTTGATTTTTTTGTTTATTGTTTTTTTTTTGAACGAAATTTGAACTAATGTTTTTTTTCTTTTTTTTTTGAGGAAGGAATGGCAAGAAACAGAAAAGTAATTTTAATTTTATTATTTATTTCTTTTTTTTGGAAACTTGAACGATTACTAACTGTTTTTTTTCTTTTTTTTTGAGGAAGAAATGGCCATTATTTTGGCTATTCCATTAAATGTGGGATGGATTGCTGTAATGGATATCGGTATAATACTCGTTACGGCCATCCTATATTTATAGGATTGATTGCTATAACGAATATCGGTATAATGCATATTACGGCCGTCCTGCATTTAATATTTTGTTCTACTCTTAAATGATGAAAATGAATCACTCAGATTAATTCTGATAAGAGTTTTTTTTATCAGTTTTTTTATTGTAAATATTTGTAATATTTGATTTTTATTTCTCGTAACAAGTTGAAAAACAAAAAAAATTTATACTTAATTTTTTGCTTATGAGTGAAATAAAATTATTGTTTGTTTTTTGCTCGGAAAGCTATTATAGTGTTTTTGAAAGTTTTTGTGCTCTAAAATTATGTAAATGTCGTGCTCTATAGAAAATTATAATTTTTCAAAATTTCGATTATTAAAAATAGGCTATTAAAGATATGTTAACCAACTTTTTAACTTCTTCAATTATCATGAGTTTTATTTGAAAAATACATTCTGAAGCTTCAATGTAACATGTGATGTGACTAAGCGGCTAAACATTAATTCTTTCTAAAATATTATTGTATCTTCTGTTAACATCTCTCAAATTCGGTAGCCATTTTTTACTATTCAAGTACAGAAGTAATTTGCTTAAAGGATTTCACCAAGAATGCATCAATGCATTACATATATATCTATATATCAATATATTCTTAAATTTTTAAAATTGTTTTGTGTAAGTTTTATTAGGTTTATTAAGAGGCTCCACCAGGCGTAGTATGTCTCATTTTGATTAAAAAAATGAGATCAATCTGAAATTCATTATTATTAAAAAGTTTTTATAGTAATATAAAATTTTATAACGAAAACATTTGTATCTAACACAATACTTAAAGTCAAAATTTTATTCAATATTAAAAGTTATATATTTCTGTATTAAATGCATTGGAATATTCTTCTTTTTCAGGCTCTTGTTCAAAGATTTCTTCTATTAGAACATTCACCATCTTCAGGTTCAGGTTCATAAAAAGAAACTGATCGTGGTAATGAATATTCACTATCCTGGTTAATGTTTTGCAAACTAGCAGCTTCAAAAGCTTCATGATAACTTGAATAACGTTTTTGAGTACCCAAAATTTTAATTCCATTTTTTTGTAAAATTCTATTAACCATATTAAAATCTTTAATAAGATGTAGTAAGAAAAATGAATAGAGTTTAATTTCAGAAATAATAGTGAAAAATATTTTTTTCAAAAAAAAAAACTTAATTTACCAATATTACATTCTTGACATGATAAAGCGATCTCTCCAAGAATTTGACGAAGTTGAGTTATCTCGCTCTGATATTCTTCGTCGTTATTTTTATATACCTGAGCTGAATGCATAACGGCTATTTTTAAAGCCTCATTTTGCTTCCTTAAGAAATTATTTTCTTTTCTTAAATCTTTGATCTCTTTTGTTTGTTGATAGTTCCTCTTTTCTAATCTACGGTTTTTGCTTTCTAATCGATTAATTTTAGTAAACATTGTTGAATTTATCCAAGATTTGAATGCGTTAAGAGCTCGGATATTATCTTCATAATCTTCTTGTGAACTATTAGCTCGATTGCATTTATAATAGCTTCTTATGCTTTCAATATACTTATTGAATGCCTTTTGAATCTGATCTGGAGTTGATTTAGATGACTTTAGAGTATTTATTAAATGATTAACCATAAAGTTTTTGTGAGGCATTTTTTTTCTTAAAGATTTGAAGGATTTGATCATTCATTATATATAAAAATTTATATTAAGG